CATTTTTTAGGCCTTAAATGTTATATAAATGATTAATTAGACATTTATTAACAAAACAAGACCATAATCAACTATCGATGCCATCTGATTGCTACGATTCAACAACTCTTCGTGATTAACCGTAAAGATGGATAATCAAGGCTTTGTGTAATATCATAACAAAGGTAACAATGAGAATCGAGGCTACAGTGTTTTTTATATTCAGTTTTCTCAACTCAAACTGAAGTAATTTGACTGAAATTATCAGGATATTCTCTTTACACTATCTATTTTTTGTCCCCTGCCTTTCGACTATTAAGATCCGTCCGTCTGTTCGTCACACCTTTTGGGACACAATAACTCTCTTTCTAAATGCGCTAGAATGTTCAAACTTGGTGTATGTGTTTATTAGGTCAATGCCTTGATGGAGTTAGAAGATGAGCATTTTCTGCTTAGGGTAAGCAGAGATAAGCAATTTGATTGGTTGATGCTTTGGGACACGATAACTTAAGTTCTAATTACGTGAGAGTGATGAAACTTGGTGTATAGTTTCATTACATCATTTCCTTGACTAAGTTTGATAATGAGCATTTTCTGCTCAGGGTAGGAAGAGTGATAAGCAATTTGATTGGTCGAGACATTGGAGCTCGACAATATTATTCTAATCGAGTGAATTCTAGAGAGTGATGAAACTTAGAATATAGTTTGATTGCTCGATAGTTTTGAAAAAAATAAATGTGCGATTAATTAATATGTGTCAACTATTTATTTTGGGATTTCGGCGGGGGACATCAGCCTCAATGTTGGCTTGTTAACTATTATAATGCGAACTGTCAGCTCTTTGTCTAATCTTCCGTAATGCCAATGTAAATTATGATTTATGTATAATATTGAGGTATAATTTTCTCATTTGTCATTCAAAATTCTCTTTAAGATCATCAAATTATAATTTCCCCAAAACTTTGATTTATGATGGAAGTTTTAATGATATTAAAATTCTCTTTCGACAAATATGTGATAAGCACATTAAGAAACAAAAGAAATTGACATGGAATACAATAACTGGTTTAACGTGGTTTTAACGTGGTTTTAACGTACATATAGCGTGATGTTTTGACAAATATTCCCTCATTGTTCACACATTTCTCAGTTTATGTGGATAACTGACCTAAAAGTACAAAGACTTTCTTTATGTTATACAATCACTTGTTTATTATACATATAGCGTGACATTTTGAAGGGGGAGGGGGTTGGCCTGAATTTGTGCCAGACTATGTCTGTGACAGGTGCCTTATTTCCAGGAATGGTTTTAACTAATAAGGAGGGTTAGATGACCTGTCATTGAGTCAACTGGCATGGTTTCGATTCCCCAGTTGTACGTGACGCCTGTCTAATCTCATGGGTTTTCTCTGGGTTCTCCAGTTTCCTCCCACTGCTGAAGAACGCTACATGCAAGCAAATTATTGAAATAAAATTGAACCATATTTAAGTACCGAAATGACCTAGTTTGCATTGAGTGGATGTTAAATCCCACCTCTCTCTCTCTCCCTCTCTCTCTCTCTCTCTCTCTCTCTCTCTCTATCTTTACCTTCTTCTGTGACATTTGGCTCTCTTATTCTTTTCAAGCATAACTTGTCGAAACCCCCTCAAGTCCCAAAAAATGTATAAGATCAGTTATTGTATTCTATATAAATGATCATTGTGTTTTAAGTCAGATTTGCTACATAATATACTGACATATATTTTCATAAAGTCTGTGGGGTGGTTTCGATTCCCTGCATTTACGTGACAAGGAGTAGGGTGTACTTCCTACCTTGTTAGTTTTTTCAAGGTCCTGTGGTATCCCCTAACTGCTAAAGAGAGAGAGAGGGAGAGAAATAGGGTTTAACGTCCGCTCGACACAAATTAGGTTATTGCGGGACTAACATGGTTCAATTTTATTTCAATAATTCGCTTGTGCGTAAGACTCTTTAGTAGTGGGAGAAAACCCACGAAGCTGGACAGGCGACTAACTGCTAAAGCGTCCTAATGGCAAGTGAATTATTGAAATAAAATTGAAATGTAGGTTAAACCCTATTTCTCACCCTCTCTTTTTTTTAAATTATTTCAACCCTATTTTCCCTTTTGTTCAGATATTGTAATTATATAAAATGTATTTGTTTGTAAACATGGCTATGTATTTCAACTTGATATAAATAAAACTGAATCTCTTCATGCACCATTTACATTTGTGTTGTGTTAGTGGTATGTTGTGTTGTGTTAGTGGTGTGTTGTTGTGTTAGTGGTGTGTTGTGTTAGTGGTGTGGTATGTTGTGTTGGTGGTGTGTTGTTGTGTTAGTGGTATGTTGTGTTGTGTTAGTGGTGTGTTGTTGTGTTAGTGGTATGTTGTGTTGTGTTAGTGGTGTGTTGTGTTAGTGGTGTTAGTGGTATGTTGTTGTGTTAGTGGTATGTTGTGTTAGTGGTGTGTTGTTGTGTTAGTGGTGTGGTGTGTTGTGTTAGTGGTGTGTTTGTAGAATTATTATACAATAAATGGTTAGAATTCAAACCCTGAATAGGAAAATAAGGGTGTCTTTACTACCAGGAAGTCTAAGTATGGGAAATCTCTAAAAGTTGAGATCCCTAAAAGGTGAGATTCTATAACCAGGAATATCTAAAAGATGAGATATTTAAATGCAGGAATCCCTAAAAGTTGAGATTTTTAAAACCAGGAATCCCTAACAGGTGAGATCTTTAACACCAGGAATCCCTAAAAAGTGGAATCTTTAAAACCAGGAATCCCTAAAAAGTGGAATCTTTAAACCCAGAAATCCCTTAAAAGTGGAATCTTTAAAACCAGGACAGTAGGACGTTAAACCCCATTTCATTTCTGAGCATGTTTGGAAGCCATGTTGCCCCAATAACCAGGAGGTCCTAGGTTCGATCCCGTTGTTGGCGCAAAAATGTTCTCAGAGCTTCATGCAGCATGGTTTCCTGGTCAGTGGTGTAGGACAGAGGGTCTGACAAGGGACAGTGTATAGTTATTCGGATGGGACGAAGAAACAAGGTCCCGTGTACGCATTCATATAAAGAACACTTCGCAGTTGGGATTGACAAAGGGTTGGTGGATATGATTCTGTCTGTGCAAATTTCAGACGTACGCCCATCTTCATGAGTGCGGTACTTATTACAGAGAAGCGGGGCGTTAAACCTATAATTATGTGACAAAATTGTTATTTCATAGCGCCATATTAACTGTTGGATAAAGCACGAGACTGAGGATTTTATCTTGCTTATAAACCGTCTATGTTTACATGTACGTAAAATGAGAATATCCCAGAATTCCAATAAGAAAAACCTTATATCATGTTTTCTTATGGAAAGAAACTTACCCGGGAAGAATAAGCCGTTACAGATTTAAAGAAAAACTTTCAGAAGAATAACCCCGAATTCCCCCGTATGTATTCAAAGCCGCCCCGACTTTCAGACCGCAAGTTATTCCTGGCATAGAATATAACCCAAAGATCAAAGAGATTTGCCGTTATAGGTTTATATATCAAAAAAAAATCTAACGGAACGTAATATTTATCATCCTAAGTTAGGTTTTAAAATGAATGAATAAAATGGGGGTTTAAGCCATTTTTTCCTTGCCAACCGCACAATGGCTAATGAAGACGATTTTAAAACGTGTTTAATAAACATCGACCATGCTGAATATTTATGTCGGGTAATTCATTAAATAAAGTTATCACAAAGCACATAATATAAATGCTTTCTTTAATGTTCTGCAAGAGTTTTAAAGGCGGCAATCGCGGATTTATTACTATCAGTTGGCGTATCTGTGGAATATAGCCGCCGATGGCAAGTACTGGAATTGCGCCCCTGTCTAAATATCTGACACGCATTTTATTCAGATAACTTTACCATGAAATTAGCCCATACCAAACTTAGGCTGTCTGTCTACAGTTAGCTGCGCATGGGAACAGCATGGACCTATACAGACACTAAGCTAGTTGAGCGACATTTTTAATCCTTAATCAACAGTTTTAGTCGAAAACACTAAACATACTTCGAGAATTTTGTTGAGTATTTGTTCTGCTTCCATTTAATAAAATTGAAAAATGTTAATTTAGCCTTTGTGTGTATGACAGATGTGAACAGGAGTAGAACCGCATTATAAAACAGTACACTAATTTTTGGATATAGCGGCCATTTAGGGCAGAGATCTATTCTCATGGAATGAAGTAGATGGGTCTCTGTGTGCAGGGTGGAAATTAACTCAATAATACAAGTCAATTTTGTTAATCGGGAAGTACTAGGTGTACGAAAAGTGCAGTAGCGCTCATTATAATTGATTATAAACCAGGGCCCTGTTTCACGAAATTTTAACTAAAGATAAAATCCAGATTTTAGTAGATACTTCAATTTGGATTGGCTGAGCACTAAAATCAATCTAATATTATCCAAATTACTTAAATTTGGATTTTTATCTTAGTTAAAATTTCGTGAAACAGGCCCCTGTAACGGTAAATCTCTTTGATCTTTGGGGTATATTCTATGCCCGGAATAACTTACGGTCTGAAAGTCGGTTTTTTTTTTTGATATATACAGGTAAATTTGGGGTTATTCTTCTAAAAGTTTTCTTTAAACCTGTAACGGGTTATTCTTCCAGGGTAGAGTTTCTTTCCCATAAGAAAACATGATATAAGGTTTTTCTTGCGGGAATTCTGGGATATTCTCATCTTGCGTGCATGTAAACATAGACGGTTTATAAGCAAGATAAAGTCCTCGACAGAAAAACCTCTGCCTACTGGCCTCGGTTTTTCTTTTTCTCAGGTTATTTTCTTCAATCTTTCTTTCCTCAGCATAACCGAAGTCTCGTGCTTTATCCTACACCTAGACTACTGTTTATACGCGTGACCAGGTAGTTCAGCTTATTCAATAGGCTTTCAGTCTCGACTACAAGGAAACCACCTATATGTTAAAACATCTATGTCATTGTTATTATATTTATTCAACCCAGCCAAACGAGATAAGCTGATCAATTCACATATGACTATCACATGATATTCGACAACAAATATAATCAAGATAAAACTGCTGAAACTTTTATTTAGCTACTGATGTTTTCGTCCAAGATGAAGTTTCTGGTAGCAGCTTGTCTTGTGTCTGTAGTTTATGGGCAGATTCCCATACCATCGCGGGAAGTCGGCTATGTTTATGAGAATGGTTCTGATTCTGCTCCCGTTCACTTGGATGTGTTCATAGACTTGATATGTCCCGATAGTAAACAGGCGTTACCAACTTTACTTCAAGTAGCTGAGATGTATGGACCTAAACAGTTACAACTAACAGCTCATATTTTCCCTCTGCCATATCACAGAAACTCATTCTATGCTACCAAGGTACAGTGGAGAATCTTATAAAGGGACCGGTATTATTTGTACGGTTGGGTAAATCTATTTGTTAAGGCCAGCTCGATTTTTGTCAAGGTCGTTGAGATGTAAATAAGGTTAGGGTAGGTGATTGTTGGCAAGATTGTAGGTTAGGGTTACGGTAAGCATCGGGGCTAGGTCCATGGTTAGGGTTGGGATTAGCGCTAATCCTGTTTACATCCCGTGACCTATGACGAAAAATTCAGCTGGCCTTATCATTTAGCACTAATCTGTAGCTTCTATTGGTTTTAATTCACAAAGATAGCTTTTTGTGTGCGTTGAATCGAGTGAGACGTGGATTCTATTGACTATATATATATATATATATATATATATATATATATATATATATATATATACTCACTAAGCTATTAAAATATCCTACCTCAAAAGGTTTATCAGAGAGTTTTATGTCGTTGTATCGACCGCGGTTATTCAGTATCAAATTATACCATCATCTCTAATATACGCCCATATTTAGATACTGCAAAATGAAATGAAATGGGATTTAATTAGCTACGAGAACGTAGCTAAAAACGTTGAGATATACTGATGTTCGAAAAAACGTAGGGTTGAGAGATGAGGTTTGCTATGTAAGGTTTTAAATCCCGCTATCCAGCAAATACCGGGCTAATCAAGACGGACATACGCCATACAACTAGCTATATTGTGCTAACTTTTCTCAAACAGGCGCTACGGCCTACTCTTATTTAGAATTCCAACTGACAAGGGATCTTTTACGTGCACGCCAATGTGTACACATCTCGTACGAACGACTAGACACTGTCCTAGCAAGGAAAGCACGCGATTCGTCTTATGCTGTTCGCATGCGAGATATATTTAGCAACGACAGTAAATTCTTGTCGAGCGAAGCGTGGCACAAATGTTTAGAATATCACCATCACATCATATTCATTCTAATGAATCTGCGTGTTTACTCAAATCTTTATTATTTTTCTCGCGTGTTCGATCCCTGCACTGGCCGAGAAAGTTCATCGGGATTTTTTTAACGTTGTTTCCCCATGTCAGTGGTGCAGAACGGAGGGCGTGACAAGGACAGCTGTCTAGTCATTCAGATGGGACGAAAAACCAAGTTCCCATGTATACACTGTCGTGCACGTAAAAGATCCCTTGACACTTGGAATTCAAATAAAGAGTTTGCCATAGTGCCGCTGCCTGGGCAAAATTTCCCTCATAGCACAGCACAATGTATGGCGTATGCCCGTCTTCATTAGCCCAGTCGGGATAGAACAGTAGGATGTTAAACCCCATTTCATTTCATTTATTATTTTGCAGGGTGCTCATGCTGTCGCTGCTCTAACAAAAGGCAACATGACATTCGACTGGTTCAACTTGGTTTATAAAAATATGCCCGTTCTCGTCAACTCAGCAACAAGCCAATTCTCAGAAGATCACATGAAAGAGTAAGCTTACTTGAAAATCTGTCATCTATACAAGTCATGGGTCCGCATATCGCTTACCCAACCTCGTGGGTTTTCCCCTGTGTGCAAGGAGCTTTTGAAAGAAGATATACCATGTGTTAGTCCCGAAATGACCTAGTTTGTGTAGAGTGGATGTTAAACCCAATCTGTCTCTCATAGTTCATCGCGAGGTTGGGTGGTCTAGTTGTTTAATGCGTGCGACTTGAAACCGTGGGGTCTGTCATTGAGTAAAGTAGCGTGGTTTCGATTCGCCTCTTGTACGTGACAAGGAGTAGGGTCGCCTGTCCAACCTCGTGGGTTTTCTCCGGGTCCTCTGATTTCCTCCAACTGCTAAAGACCCTTGCCACGCTTTCCTTGCTGCACCGTTGACATGGAGGAACTATGATGGAAGATCCCGAGGTACCTCCTCGGCCTTCACCGGGTTCGAACCCTAGACCTCCTGCTGGCTAATGGGGCCAGGTCCTGGGCCACGTATTATAAGGTCCCCGGTTGTCTTTATTTAATAAATAAGCCATGTTAACCATTTATCACCAATGTACTTTTTCTTGTTTCTGTAGCGTGTTTTCAAGTTTGGCTGGTTCCATGGGTTTAGTGCCTGCAACCTTTGAACCTATGTTAGATGACCCTAATATTGAAGAAGACACAAGAGTAGCCTGGAAATATGCTTGTACACGTAAGTTTTCTTCCTTCCTTCCGTCATGACTTCAACCTCACTACAAATAAAATCACTTCAGTCACTCTACCATTCATAGCTACAGCATCAAACTCATCAGACATATCAAAATCATCAGCCACCATCGTAACATCAGATGTAACGAAATCATCAACAACCATCGTTACAAAAGATGTACCAAAATCATCAACAACCATCGCTATCAAAGTCATCAGCACCATCATACAGTAGGCTTAGTACTATCAGTCCCCAATCAGCAGTGTTTTCTTTAAATCCAACGCATCCCCGAGATTGAGCAGATCTTGGCGTAATCATAGAATGCCTTACCAAACGTCGGTTCGCTTGAACTTCGGGATGGATGTACAAATGTCGACAGGAACCATTCCATTATCACCGCTGAATCATAAACACAAGCAGGCTATATCTGTTGTTGCCACCATAATGCTGCCACAACCTAGCTACAAAATATGTTGTCATTTTTATCAATATGAAAGCGCTACGTTCTCTTTTTGAATGAGTATTAATTTAATGATAAAATCAACCATATTTAATTTTATATTTCAGGAGGAGTAGCTGCTACACCAACGTTTTTTGTAAATGATGTTACAGTCGGCGCCACTCCAACCTGGACAGCAGCTCAATGGAAACAACTTATCGACCCAATACTCAATCCATCACAAAAAAGACTAATCTTTGTAAGTTTAAAATGTAATTGAAACGTAATATATATTCCCGTATTCGTTAGCCTGTTTGGTACAGAGAGGTAGGGTGTTAAACCCCATTTTAGTATATTATTAGCCTTATGTCATCCACACGCATTTACAACCACATTAACTTGGGCTACTTACTGTGCGGAATCTGGATTTACAAGACATTTCAAAACTTATCTAGTTTCGTTACTAATACAGTAGATTTCTTGCTCCTTGAAGCTTACAGTGCTCTTACCGTAGTTCAAATGAAGCTTACGGTGATGATGATGAGTTAGTTGTATTTTACGTCCGCTTCCACCGAGGTGATATCGCAGACAAGAAGCTTACGGTGCCCTTACCGTAGTTAAAAGGAAGCTTACGGTGCCCTTACCATAGTTAAAACGACGTTTACCGTAGTTCACATGAAGCTTACGGTGCCCTTACCGTAGGTAAAATGAAGCTTACGGTGCCCTTACCGTAGTTAAAACGACACTTACCGTAGTTCAAATGAAGCTTACGGTGCCCTTACCGTAGGTAAAATGAAACTTACGGTGCCCTTTCCGTAGTTAAAATGAAGCTTACGGTGCCCTTACCATAGTTAAAATGACGCTTACCGTATACGTTCAAATGAAGCTTACGGTGCCCTTACCGTAGGTAAAATGAAGCTTACAGTGCCCTTTCCGTAGTTAAAATGAAGCTTACGGTGCCCTTACCATAGTTAAAACGACGCTTACCGTAGTTCAAATGAAACTTACAGTGCCCTTACCGTAAGTAAATTGGAGCCTACGGTGCCATTACCGTAGTTAAAAGGAAGCTTAGGTGCCCTTACCATAGTTAAAATGACGCTTACCGTATACGTTCAAATGAAGCTTACGGTGCCCTTACCGTAGGTAAAATGAAGCTTAGAATAAACCCATCTAATTTGTAATAAGCTACGCTTCCCTTTGCTCAATACAGTACATCACAGGAAGTCATATGCAAACAATTTGAGAGAAACACTATTTCAAACCGTGTCCGAAATATCTGATGTTTGAAAATTCACTAACACCTCCGCACTTTCGGACTAAACTTCATACCTAGAGATATTAAACACCACCTTTTCTTTATTTCAGAAATCCAACCGTCTGTCAGCATGTGCACCAAATACTAAAAGATGTGAATATCTTCCTGGTAAAATAGAATGTTGTACAAGTGGTGAGGCCTGTATTCCTAATGTTGGTTGTCGTTGTTAATACTTAGGCCTTCGCGATGCCTGTGGCAGGTTGTTGTTGTTAATGCTGTAGGCCTCCACGATGCCTAATGTGATCTGTCATTGTTAAGGTTAAAGGCCTTCAGGATGCCTGTTCTTGTTTAAATTTGGTGATGTAAATAATGTATGATATTGTAAAGTAATAGAAAGACAATAAATATTTATTTTGCGACTTGAAGTTTTAGATTTATGGTCTCGGGCTAGCAGGGGCGTGGTGACCCATGATTTTGCATGAGGAACAAGATCCCGCCCCCCCCCCCCCCAACAATATTTATATGTGTGTGCAGGGGGGAGGGAGTGTTGTCCCTCCCAGTGCCTCCGAGTAATATTGGGCTGTGTGGAACATGCTAGAGTAGATTTGTAGCATATCTGACCCACGGTATATGTTTGACACTGGTTGAGCATTATGATTATGATTATAATGTTGAAAACCGCATTGAAACGGCGTGATTTATTTTTTGCCATTTGCGGGGGGGGGGGGCAAAAACTCAAGGGGGCGTAAAAACTCAAAACAATGATGCAAAGCTCATCATTGCGTCCAGGGGCGGATTGGGGAAGGGAACCGGCCCGGGCTCCCGTGTCGGAGCGGTCCCTTTTACTGACCGCGGAGCGATTTGGTGGCATATGCGATTTGGTGGCATATCTGATTATAATCTCTGTCAAATTCAGCCAGCAGTCCAGCTATCACCAAAATTTGCTGAGGCCTTAAAACTGTTTTTTTTGGGGATATACGAACCATTGGTAGACGTTTCTGGCGTACCCGCCCAAGCAGGGGGCAGGTGATTTAATAATTAGTAAATTTGCGGGCGACAGTGTCGGCTGAATCCGATGAAATTTTCGGATGAAATTCGGAATCCCCATTGCAGGATTCCGAATTCCGGCCCACACCCAGCAAACCCGGCCCAGAAAGTCTATTATACCAGCCCATTCTAGACTCCAGTGATGGCGTGGCGGCCCATTAAAGCCACCGGCCACATACAACATGATCATCATCGCTCCATGGCCGGTCCAATACCCCCGCTTCCCCCCCCCCCCCTATAATGTTCAGTAGAAAAAGGATTTTTAGACGAATTGGGCAAAATTATTTTTTTCATTTTTTGTCCGACCGGCCCTTCGCCCTATGGCCCAATCCGCCCCTGATTGCGTCCCGCTCACTTATCCCCTGAAGACTAGTAATCTCCCCCCCCCCCCCACACTGACTTCAATGGTAAATCCATGTCATTCCTGGGCCTATAACATTTGTTGAACATTCCGATGTTATTAATATTTATATCTACAAAATCATCTGACAAAAATATTAAATGGTGGTGACCGTCTCGATTTTTTGCTAATCCCGACCAAAGGATTCTATAAGCTCGGACGTCTGTTTATTTCTTGATCATTCCGCCTCAAAATCATAAATATTCACCAAAACCTGGTAGAAAACGTAATTCCCCCAAAAATAACAAAAGTGTTATGCAAAAGGGGCGAAAAGGAAGTGAAATGAAATGGGGTTTAACGTCCTACTATTCTGCTCGGACTGAGCGAATGAAGGCGGATATGCGCCATACAGTGTGAGATGAGGGAAATTTTGCCCGGACAGCGGCACTATGGCTTACTCTTATATCGAATTCCAACTGCCAATGGATCTATTACGTGCATGTCAATGTATACACGGGACCTCGGCTTTCATCCCATCCGAACGACTAGACAGCTGTCCTTGTCTTGCACCATCTTGCACCACCAACAAGGGGAAACCCGGGAGCGAACCCGAGGCCATCAGGTTATAGCAAGCAAACGCCTTACTTATTGAGCCATCTCGACTCCCGTCAGAAATTCCTCGTGCCTGTTGAATATTTTCATGTTCCCCGCCCAGTTGCTCACGCGCTTCCTTCGCTTCATGAATAGAAGTCTGCCAAGCTATTTCCCGGTAACATTTACCAAAATGGCATTTATATTCCCTCAGCTATAATACAAAATGTAACCCCCGGCTTTCATGAAATTCATGAAAACTCACAAATTTGACCACATCGTTAGATGCGGTTTTCCGGTCTCAGGTTAACGTCGGTTATTATCCTGGCTTTGGTTTCTCTAGAACCCACGATGCCTGCAGACTGGAGTTTAACCTGTGGTGCTCGTCTCTTGGCTGCGTCATTCGTATTAGGGGCCTGTGTATTAGGCGATCTCATTTTTGCTGCCCCTATCCCCAAACAAAATCGATATGGATTGCTTGTTTCGTAAATTTTGAGTTGATTTGGACAAACAAATTTCAGATGAATTCTGAAGTAAAAGATCTAAATGAAAAAATGAATAATTTTCGCGTTCATTTGGATTTTGACCCTACTGCTTATACTCAATATTCACATATCATGACCGAGTTCTGTCCCTTTAACGAGATAAACGGATTAACCAACTCGAGACAGTATCACGTGTTGATCAAGATAAAAAGTCAAGTGATAAACTTTCATTTAGTTGTTGATGTTTTCGTCCAAGATGAAGTTTCTGGTAGCAGCTTGTCTTGTGTCTGTAGTTTATGGGCAGATTCCCATACCAACGCGGGAAGTCGGCTATGTTTATAAAAATGGTTCTGATTCTGCTCCCGTTCACCTGGATGCCTTCCTTGATTTAATATGTCCCGGCAGTAAACAGGCGTTACCAACGTTACTTCAAGTAGCAGAGATGTATGGACCCCAGCAGTTGCAGCTGACAGTCCACCTGTTTCCTTTACCATATCACAGAAACTCATTCTATGCCACCAAGGTACAGTAGACATTTTACAAACGTGCGTATCCACACCCGTTTCAACTGAAATTAGCCGCTTCAAGAGGAGTTGGGTTAGTGATGTTAGCCGCTTCAAGTGGACATATATTATTATTATTATTAATTGACTATATATATTATTAATTTGCCTTCATTTGTACCTTATTAATGACTTGGCAACTTGAAAATATTTTTCAGGGTGCTCATGCAATCGCTTCCTTAACACAGGGCAACCTGACTTTTGATTGGATCAATTTAGTTTATAAAAACATGCCCGTTCTGGTAAACTCAGCAACACATCAATTCACAGAAGATCAGATGAAAACGTAAGCAACTATTAATAGTAACCCCAATTATACCCTGAAAGTCACTCATACCATATGAGAGCTGTAATGTCGGAAAGTATTCCATATCACACTAGGAATGTAGAACTCGAGGGTCACTTTTTCTCGGGGAGTCACCCCTATCATACTAGGGCTGTAGAGCTCTGGGGGTCATTCCTATCATACTAGAGCTGTAGAGCTCTGAAAGTCATTCCTATCATACTAGGATTGTAGAGCACTGGAAGTCATTCCTATCATACTAGGGCTATAGAGCTCTGGAAGTCACTTCTATCATACTAGGACTGTAGAGCTCTGGAGGTCATTCCTATCATACTAGGGTTGTACAGCTCTGGAAGTCATTCCTATCATACTAAGGCTATAGAGCCCTGGGGGTCATTCCTATAATACTAGGGCTATTCTGGAGGTCCTTCCTATCAAACTAAGGCTATAGAGCTCTGGAGGTCATTCCTATCATACTAGGGCTGTAGAGCTCGGGGAGTCATCCCTATCCTACTAGGGCTGTAGAGCTCTGGAGGTAAACTCTTTACCCAGAAAAGTAGAACGTTGAACCTCATGCCAGGGTTAGGGTTAGGGTTGGTGCTTCGTTTACTCTTCATATAACCAAGGGCCAAACAGAATTATAAAGACCAACCGAAGCGCCCAGGCCTAAACCTGGGTGTATCCTAGCAGTCCTTGGCAAACTCTTTACCCAGAAAAGTGAAGCGTTAATCTTCACTTCACTTCATTTATTTATGACCATCAATGTTCATTATTTTCAGAAAAATCTCGAACTTGGCCAGTATGCTTGGTCCGTAGGCTACCCCATTTCATTTCTGTGTCAATGTTCGTTATTTTCAGTACGTTCTCGAACTTGGCCGGTATGCTTGATCTATAGGCCTACCCCATTTTATTTCATTTCTTTATGACCTCAATGTTCGTTATTTTCAGTAAGTTCTCGAACTTTGCCAGTATCCTTGGTCTATATCCAGAACTATTTATACCTTTGTTAGATGATCCACATATTGAAGAAGATACAAGAGTCGCCTGGAAATATGCTTGTACAAGTAAGTTACCTCCCTTCCCCCATTAAGTTTCAAGTTAGTTACCTCCCTTTCATCTACCTGGTTCCCAAAGTGTTTTAAAAATCTTCAGCAGCTCTATATATTATATGACGTCAATGTATAGATAAAGTTGCGACAACCATAGAAATATATAATTTTATTTTATGATCAGTAGTGGAATACCGCGTTTTATCAGTGAAATAAAAGTGTTATTCCACTGGCTAGTTGTTTTTACCTAAAATGATTGTAAAATCATAAAATAAATAGAACATTTGTCGTTTTGTCGTGAATAACATATTTTATTTCATCTCTAAGCAAGAAAACGTTTATATTTTCACTCATGCTACGCATTCGTGAAAATATAAGTTTTCTTGCTTCTCGATGAAATAAATAGATAGAACTCAATGACCATTGAATACCGCTCGGGTTATTCAATGGTTCAAGAGAGTGTATCCCTGCGCAAGTATTCCACGAGCGATAATCTTAAAATGCAAATCTTAAAATACACTGTACTATCTAGATTATCATAAAAAATCATCACCACTAACGTTAAAATTCATCATAGGTTCCGCTCTTTTTTCTTTCTTTTTTACAAAAATTGTGGTTGCCTAGTTGTGACGTCATTACAGTTTGACGTAGTTCTGTAAGTGACGTCATTATGGACAAAAGTAGTACGTTTTCAAGCCATTGAATACAACTATAGGTTATTCAATGGCCGTATTCAATGATATTTGCTTGTATTTGCATGTAGTTATAGAATAAAATATGTTATTCACTCTAACACGACAAATATCCTCTACATATATATCTATGGCGATAACTGTGAAGCCATAAATTTCATATGACGTCATGAAAATATGACGTCAAGTGTACACTCGGCAAACCTCGACAGATTCTACGCATCTAATGTAGGGTACCGGAATCTGCCGAGGTTTGCTGAGTGGTCAAGTGTACAAAGACGCCATCTTGGGTCCCAGGTATTTGTACCTACACACTATGTATTTTTTATGTCCTATCCTACTGTTGTGTCGAAGTAAGCTGCCCCCGACAGGGATGTAGATGGATATGTCATAGAATTCCTCAAAAAAGAGATCAAACATACATTTTTAAAACGAAAAGTATAGCTGAACACTATTATTATTATTATTATTATTATGCAACAAAAAACGCACATTATTAGTCTTAATTCATAAGAAAATGAAATAAAAGATACACCAGATAAAAGCGCTATTAAATATATTTAACTTGCGCACGCTTTAAAAAATCAGATTTTTTGTGCAGACGGGTAAAGTGAAAAATGAAAATTTAAAGAGTAATTTGGGAGATAAAACCTTTTTTGTCTTCTAGCCGGCAAAATAAATGCCTGAATTTCCATGATTTCTTTGTCTGGAGCCATTCCGGATTGTGTGTCAGTTTTCGGTCATCGATCATTAATTGTATCATCATTTTTTCTGAAAAAGAAATTTCTTTAAATTGACTAATGGATAAAACATTTAAAATCAGTGTAACTTAAAATCGGTGTAAAATCAGAGTAATTTAAATAAAAGGTGTCTAGCGTGACATGTATTTCGGGCATATGTTTCATAAGTGACATGTGATACGAGATATAGCTCTCCGAAACTTTCTGGTTTCTTTTGCAATTTATTTGGGGTAAGACGTTATCACTCCCCGCCCATGTGTAAATAATGATATTAATCTAATATATAAACCGCACAAATTTAACAGATACAAATAATGTACATATTATTCCACAGGTAGACAGACATTGAAGAAGGGGCCCAGTGAAGGAGACGCAGTTGGTTTAGAGTTTTTCTGACTCCTTTGGGTATTTGCGCCCCATTTCCAATGAAATGATCATGTTGTTCTGATGCTCAACTAGTATCAAATATATATCATGTCTGAGATTTGTTGCAAATCGCCTCGAGCATGTTCCACACATCTCAACATTTCAGCTTTTTGTTTAATCTATAAAAGCATACATTCCTACAAAATGTTTTGTTTAGTCAAGTGAAACAAGAAAATTCATAGGCTAAATGGAACAATAAGTACACCTTAATGTCGTCAAATATACGTAAATCTATGAAATACGATACTTTTATGATATGATTCAACCGAAAGATCTATGGGTGGTTAACAGAATGTGTAACTAAACTATGATTGGATCTAGAATTTTCTACACCAAGTCTATTGCACCTAGATGTTTAAAGCGCGTTAACAATATATTCATTTAAGAGCATCTATGTCATTCGGGATTAATATAGGGCCTACCACATATTACAAGTCATACCCAACGGAAAGAAATGACGATTAATTAAATTTCCACCATTTTGGATTTCATTTTGCCGGCCATTTTGAATTTCTATTCTACCATCAAGAATTCTCGAAATTAAATTTTTGAGATTATCGCTGCCCTTTTACTACCAATTTAATATTGTTTCTTTTTTTTCTTTTTTTTTAAATGGTATTATATTACCAAATTTGGCAGTCATTTTGAAAGAAATGCCCGGCACCAAATGACAAATACATTTATTTAATTGAAGTTTGTCAAATTCGGTTTATCGACACATTTCGCTTGCATAACCACTCGGTGTTTGAGGAATTTAAAAAGAAATTATTTATCATCCCACTTCTGAAAGACACCCAGTACGAGATATCGCTCTCCGATAATTCCTGAAGAACGCCAAATTGAATTCTGTTAATCATGTCTTTTTGCCTTGGCCGATTTTGAGTATGATTTTGTCTGACATATTCATCATTGAACCAATTTGTTTAGTACCCGTAAAACTGTATGATAGTAATTGATATGTACCTACGCCCATACATTTGCTATTCGGCTACCGGTTTACTTTAACAGGAAAACGTGCCGCTTTTACAAAAAAGTCCCAAAATGGCGTCTTTTGTCGAGTGTATATAACTAAACGAGCAGAGATATTGTCTCAAGGCTGCTGGTTTGATATAATTCCCTGGTAATTCCCCAAACCCAATGCCAAACTTAACGTTTGTTGATATAATACACTCTCCACAGAAATCTCCATGGGCGCAGCCATTTTTCATCCGGGACCTTTAAAATAGTTCCAATATGGCGGAATTCGTCATACAGCCGAGATTAGATGCGTAGAATCTGTCGAGGTTTGCCGAGTGTATTTGTCAGTGGCGGCGCCAGCCGTCGGTGATTGGAGGGGCAAAGCTGGGGCAAAGTCCTAGGGGGGCAAAGGCACGAGCTTCAACTAGGGGTAGGGGGCCTCCCCTATTTGAAAAATAGACTGCCGGAAATGCTGTCACAGTATTCTGTCAGGCACCGATCGTCGAGATAAATAGATCTGACCAGATACCGTCCGTCGCCTGATCACTAGTTTATCCGACTAGAGAACAAAATGTCAAACGAACGGACTTGCGAACCTCAACGAATTCCCCTTGTGAGCGCCAAAGTAGCGAGTCCATTGGGGTCGGAAATGCTCTACTGAGTACAACATGCAAGTTTATGACCGAGTGGGGATGTGGGATTTATTCACCGTAGAAGGTATTGATTACCGAAACGTATCACAAATACTTTTTTTTATTTTCTAAAAAAAAATTTTTGGGGGGGGAGGGGCAAACAGAGGGCAGACCAGATTAAGGGGGGGGGGCAAATGCCTCCCCCCTGGCGCCGCCACTGGTTAAAGGCAGCATTCTTCCCGATTCAATAACGTCTTATGTAAACAATGCACGCGCCATTGAGCCAATGATTGACGTCGCGTGATGTGACGTCACGTGTTGAAGGCAGTCATCTTTTACAGAGATATTAGAAGACTTTCGTAATCCTCTGTGAAACAGATTGATACCGTGGGTCAGATATGCTACAAATCGACTCTAGCATGTTCCACACAGCCCAATATTACCCGGCGGCACTGGGATTGACTGCCAACCCCATCACCTCTCCTGCACACACATATAAATATTATTTTTGGGGCCCGGGCTGGATCTTGTTCCTAATTCAAAATCACGGGTCACCACGCCACTAGTTCCATAAACCCTAACGACATTGAGCAGAATTAATGCAGATGTGGTGATTTGTAAAATGTCCAAAAGATTCCGAAGTGGAAGAAAGGGTTGGGAACAACTGCTGGACTGCAGTGCGAAAAGTCAATGCAACATCATCAGAGTAGCCAATGATTTGTTACATCAGGGTAAAAATACCCCCTTATTTGTTGCAGGAGGAGTTGCTGGTACACCAACCTTTATGGTGAATGATGTTCTAGTAGACGGTAGTCCAGCCTGGACAGCAGCTCAATGGAAGCAGATAATTGATGCAGTACTCCATCCATCCAAAACACGACAAACTTCTGTAAGTTGTAAATATAATTTCAAGTGTCGAGTCATCACTATATGCGCTCAAAATGAAACAGTTTTTATTCCCTAACCGCCTGTTCTTGGTAAGAATCGCGACTTTCACAGTGCTGTTCACGTTGGATCTCTTTAATATAGCTTTTGGCGACTTAGCATGTTGTGCTTTCGTGCCCAAATAAATAATAATAATCAGTGAAATAAAAATAGAGGCAGAATTTTTTTTTTTAACATCGATACCTTAACAAAGTGAGGATTTTCTATCTAGGCCAAGTAGAGATTGGCAATTTGGAATACAAGAACTCTAATTGGGGTATAATTATAATGTTCAAAATGTCAATGATTTGGAACACGATAATTTGATGAAACTTGGTGTATATTATTAATACCATATGACTAAGTTCGATATTGAAATTTTTTTCTGTCAAGGTTAAACAGAGTGGTATAGGCACTCTGCTTGCTAGTAATTAATCAATGTCATCAATTTATTTTGGGATTTAGACCGTACATCTCAAATGACAAGATATTAATACTCGCATTTCTTATTTCAGAAATCCAACCGTCTATCGGCATGTGCACCAAATACTAAAAGATGTGAATATCTACCTGGTAAAATAGAATGTTGTACAAGTGGTGAGGCCTGTATTCCTAATGTTGGTTGTCGTTGTTAATACTGTAGGCCTTCACGATACCTGTGGCAAGTTGTCGTTGTTAATGCTGTAGGCCTTCACGGTGCCTATTGTTGTTGCTGTTGTTATTGTTATTGTAGGCCTTCACGATATCTGCTATTGTTGTTATTGTTGTAGGCCTTCGCGATCTGTTGTTGTTAATACGGCTAAACCTAGCTATTTGTTAAGGCCAGCTCAATTTTTGTGAAGGTCGTCGAGATGTAAATAAGGTTAGGGCACGTGATTGTTGTTGAGATTGTAGGTTAGGGTTAGGGTAAGCATTGGGGCTAGGTCTAGGGTTAGGATTAAGGTTAGGGTTAGCGCTAGCCCTGTTTACATCTCAGGACCTATGACGATAAATTGAGCTGACCCTATCATTTAGCACATAACCCAAAACAAGTCCTGTGTCCAATGTTGGTTGCGGTTGTTAATTAAATGTTTGGTACATGGTTGTGTATATTGTAAAATAGTTGACAATAAAAATTTATTTTTGTATCGCTAATATTTTCGTCTTGCTGATTTTTTTTTTTTCAAAGCGGTTTTATTATAAATATTTTGTTTCGTCAAATCAGTTAAAACTGTTGATAGTCATTAATTAGAGAGACTTTGAAAACCTTGCAAACTACCATATTTTAGGAATCTCATTCCAAAAATGGTTCGAATTCAAGTCCGTTCAGTACTTACAAAGATTTAAATCGACTTGGGGGGGGGCGTTGGTTGGCCGAATGGTTAACGCGTACGCGGTGCATCATGAGGTCTGTCATTGGCTCAAGTGGCGTAGTTTCGATTCCCCGCCTGTACGTGACAAGGAATATGGTCGCTTGTCCCACCTCGTGGGTTTTCTCCGTGTCCTTCGGTTTCCCACCCACTGTTAAAGACCCCTACACGCAAGCATATTATTGAAATAAAATTGAACCCTATATGTTAGTCCTAAAGTGACCTGGTTTGTGTCTAATGGACGTAAAACCCATACTGTCTCACAAAAATATGAACATTTCGCGACAATCAACATTCCCTGCAGAAGATATAAACAGGCCAGTACCACCTATATATCTGGGAACAACGTTGCCTCAAAAGATCCCTTGGCAGTTGAAATTCGATATAAGAGTAGGCCGTAGTGCCGTTGTCCGAGCACAATGTCCCTCATAGCACACTGTATGGCGTATGCCCGTCTTCATTAGCCCAGTTGGAGCAAAACACTAGGACGTTAAACCCCATTTCATTTCATTTATTTATACAATGCTTAAAAATAATCAATCTAAGTCCATGTTAAAGGGACAATAACATTCTTGCTGGCTTGACAGCTCCAGTAAATAAATATTAGCCTTATTCTAAGTATTAGATGTTTAAGTGTCCTACCTGTTGTGTAAATTATCCATTACATCCTATTTTACTTGTCTAGAGGGTTCGAAAATATTTTTAAATACAAGTCACATTTGAAAAGGTTTACGTTAGGCTTTTCAAATCATTTAGTTGAATTTTTCCAATTTTTTAAATTAGGTGTGTTAAGATGAAATTTGTATCATCAATTAATTGGAATACTGTAAAATAGTATAATTTGTTGACCAGAATAAAGATTGGGACATATTATTCTGTTACAACAAGAGTGGTATTGACCAGAATTTTTCCAATTTTTTAAATTAGGTGTGTTAAGATGAAATTTGTATCATCAATTAATTGGAATACTGTAAAATAGTACAGTTTGTTGACCAGAATAAAGATTGGGACATATTATTCTGTTACAACAAGAGTGGTATTGAGCTTTAAAATGGATTAAGAAACGAAATCAAGTCCCATTCCTTTGCTCTGATTCGGTTTTTGTTTTTGTGTCGAACGGACGTTAAACCCAATTCTCTCTCTCTCTCTCTCTCTGCGGCTTTAAGCGGTTAAAAAAATTACGATAGCCATTGCCTACAGATTTTACTTTATTAGATATTCCCAATGATATTATAATAAAAACTAACGACCACAATTATGATTCCATCTGAATGAAATTTATACGCATTGTTCTCAAACGTTCAATGTTCAATTCACTTCCTATCCTTGTGAATGCTCTAGCAAATATAGTTATAATTCAATCTGAAATGGATAAACATTGCTGAAACTGGTGAAAGAAAGGTGCCTATTGAACGTTTTCAGTTAATTACTGCTAGAGTTAAGGCCCTTGGTCGCTTTGTAAAATCTTAACTCTCTATATAGCGACAAAATCCATTTGGAACCTATACACTACACAGAATTCATAGTCCCGAAATGCCCCCCCCCCCCATCTCTCTCTCTCTCTGTGTTCTACTCCAAAGATACATTATGGGAGATCAGATAAAGGGCTGGTAGTTCTCACTATAATAGTTAAAATCTAGATAATGTAAAGGCAAGTTGCTGAAAATTTCAGTATACCCTGAACCGAGTATTTAGCGATTGAATTTTGGACCTAGTCTCGATCATCATTACTAAAGACGGTACGATAAAAAAAAACATAGTCTCGATTATCCATTTTTTGATTGAATCAGAAGCAGCGAACCTGGTTCTAATCCAGTAAATATCGCTGGCTAGCGATGACATCGAGAATTGATTATGGTCTGGATAAGTTAATTGATGTCTAATTAATAATTTTGATAGCATTTCAGGCCTAAAGTAAGACCTGCAATAGGCAGATTTAGCTCTTGCATAATGTATGTTTAAGTTTTGATAATTGTGGGACTCAAATTAACTATAGCTGAACTATTCAAGTGTCGGTCATGGCTGTAATATGGTATCCTCATCATTGTTTACATATCTTTACTTATGTTGTTAGTTTATACAAGGAGACAAACAACCTCGAGCTTAACTCGTATTACTTCATACAATATTATCATCCTATTCTAGGTATAAAGGACCCATCGTCACTGCCAACAGAGTACTATATACTTTGAGAATAGATCTCTGTCTTCAATTGCCACCATATTAAAAAAAATCGCATACTGTTTTGTAATGTTGTGCTAATCTGGTTTTCATCTATCTTACACACAAGAGAGAGAGAGAGAGAGATAGAGAGGTTAACATTTACTCGACACAAAATAGGTCATTTCGGGGCTAACATATGGTTCAATTTTATTTCAATAATTCGCTTGCGCGTAGGGGTCTTTAGCAGCGGGGGGATACTGGAGGACCCGGAGAAGTCCCACGAGGTTGGACAGGCGACCCTACTCCTTATCCCGTACATCCGAGGAATCGAATCCACGCCAGTTGACTCAATGACAGACCTTATGATACAACGCACACGCGCTAACCATTCGGTCATCCAACTCACCATACATACAAAGACGAAATATAAAGAAATGAAATGGGGTCTAAGGTCCTACTGTTTTGCTCCGACTGGGCTAATGAAGGCGGGCATACGCTATATGGGTGCAATTTTGCCCGGGGACCGGCACTACGGCATACTCTTATATCGAATTACAACAGCCAGGGGATCTTTTACGTGCACGCCATAGTGTACACAGGATCTGGACTATATAAACATTTCCGATTTTATTAAATGGAAGCAAAATAAACACCTCTCAATATTCTACTTACTGTTGTCGACTAAAATCGTGTATTAATGTCGGTCAGTTAGCTTGGTGTTTGTTCTCAGGCGGAGCTTATTGTAGACAGACAGCGTAGTTTACGTATGAAATCTTCAATAGAAGGTTTGATCTAGCTCTAACCCCATACATCTTATCAAGGTTGTAAAACTCGCGGTGTCGCTTCAGGTACGTGTAACTAACCTGAACTAGGTCTGGGTTTAGTATCAAGCGTTCATTCGACTGGCGTGAAAAGAAAAGTATAGCTTCCCGATTCGAGCTCTCTGTTTTGTCCTTAGATATTCCACATCCGAAGGTTTATTGAACGTGTAGAGCCAGAAATGTCTCTCCTGTTTGTCGTTTCTGCGTGTTTTTTGGCGCTAATTCCGAATGGAGAATCCGTGCCGATACCGAACCGTCCACTGGGTTTTGTGTACAACTGTAGTTGTGAGAATGCCCCGATCAAGTTGACGGCGTTCATGGAGACGTTTTGTCCGGACAGCAGGGAAACGCATCCACATCTCTTAGAAGTAGCCGATTATTATGGTCCACAGAAACTGCAACTGACGTATCATATGTTTCCGTTACCATATCACATCCGGGGTTTCCATGGCACCAAGGTAAGCAGAAATACAGTCTGATAAAAACGGAGATCCTATTTCGTTTCTTTTGTTTATAATTTACTTTTCTTCACAACACAAGGATCTGGAAGAGTTGCATAGGCCATCGAAAGTATAAAAAAAACGAAACGAAATATAGATCTGTATTTTAATCAGTTTGAGCAGAAATACGAAATAATATATTTTCACGAATTTCTTTGGGTTTCCAAAAGAATCATTCTAAAGCGTAAAAGTACATTTTACATCCATTTTCACTATGAATACAACACGGTTCGGTGTGATTTCATCTTCTTAAAGGAGCTAAATCGCTAATATTTGGGACCTAGAAATTGACAAAAATGGGTCGCAACTCATATAATAATGTAATATAAACTGATTTACATTCAATCGTTTCTGTTTTTACTGTAAATTCTAATCAGTTATGTTCGGCGAAATACGCCAGAAGTCTCATGTGAATGGCAATCTTTAGCGTCTGGTTTTCCAGTCTACACCGATAGAATTTATTGCGCATGCTCTCCAGATAAGAATATAGCGTCACCATTTGACATGAATATGTCTAGCCCTGTTCTATGAGTCCCTTGTCCCAAATGGCGCTGAAACGCATTATTCGTGTACCAATGGTAAAATGTTTATTTTGTCTTAAATATTGGATATCAGAAAAACATCTTTTCCCTGTAAGATCACAAGACCAATGTTGATATGAATTGCCAAATAATTCGTGTTTTCAATGTCGAAGATTTTTGATGATATTGAGTTAGAGACTTAGCTACTTTAAATGCAATGTTTATTGATATTTGGCATATTCCAGATTCTATTACTTTGGCATATTCCAGATTCTCGAAATCATTGCATAGTTTCGATTCCCCGGTTGAACGCGACAGCCTCGTGCGTTTTCTCCGGGTCCTCCGGTTTCCTCTCACTGATAAAGGCCCCTCTCGCTATCTGATATAGCAATTGTTTATCAGCTGATTATGGATAAACAATGGAAGTTTCTGGGTTTCCCCTAGTCTGGGTTGCAATCGTTCGGATGGCTGGAAAACCGAGATACATCCGTAGACCCATTGGCGTGCACGTAAAAGACCCACAGACAGTTTGAATTTGACGAAGAGTAGGATGAAACTCTTCTGTCCGTGCTAAATTTTCCTCATACGTCACAACATGGCGTATCGGGAACACTGCGATGCTAAACCCATTTCCGTCCATTTTCGTTTTTTATTTAGTAAATTCTTTGTTTATTATATGCCATGTATGTAATAATTTTTTGGTATATTGTATGCCATGCATGTAATAATTTTTGGGTATATTATAGGCC